TTTAAGAGGACAAGTTTTTACTAGTATTATTTGACCATACGAAAAAAGCAATTGGAGAAAAAAGCAATTGAAATAAAATAAAATGACAAACTCATTGATTATTCTCTCAGTATATGGAATCTGAATCGATTGCACCTCCCAAAGGTTAAGGGTTTCCTACTTATTAGAGGTATTGTTGTCGGTATGGAAGAAGACTGTGTTCCACTTGTCCGTTGAACGAGAATTAGCGGAGGTTTCAGGTCAGGCGCGTTTGGGCCTTCTGCCTTGTGAAAAGGAAATTTGTCGGAAGCTTTGGATTTTCCAAAGTGTTATGGACAGGATAAGTCACTTGTCTGCCTTATGAGCTTCTGTTGAGAATATTGTCATTACTTCCTAATGCTAAAGATGTTGTAGCCACTATGGTTTTGTCTAAGCGATGGCAATTTCTTTGGATGTTGGTGCCGTAGCTCGTATTCAATGATAGCTATCAGGATCCCGGCTATGGTACATTTTCTCGTTATGTTGATAGATCATTGTTTCTGCACGAGGCTCCGGTTATTGAAACTTTGCATTTTAAGCTTGGTGCAACTTGTGGTTGTGGAGATCTCCGAGTGTGGGTTAGAGCTGCTGATAAATGCCGTGTGCGTGAGCTGATTATCGAGATTGATGCTTGGTCTACGAGGAAAACTCCAGTCACACTTCCAAGGAGCTTGTTTAGTGGGGGATGTAGAACGCTTGTTACCTTGAAACTAAGTAACGCGACTCTTGTGAGTGTTACGTCCCCGGTTTCTTTCCCATCCCTCAAGAATTTGACATCAAGTATCTAAGTGACGAATTTGTCAGGACGCTTTTATCCAACTGTCACCTTCTTCAAGGCTTGGTTGTGGAACGTTGTACCAATGACAATGTGACTGTTTTCACTGTTAGGGCCTTGAGCGTATTTGACATAGTTTATTGTGAGGGAGATGGCAGGTTTTTGATAGATGCTCCGTTTTTGGAGAGCTTGGGCATTGATAATCATACGGGTGTTGTTGAGAATGACATGACTAAGATTGTGGTTGCAGATATTTGCGTTTCAGGTGCTCATCGATCTGGAATGAACCGATCTCTGTTCCAGAATGTGTGCGATCGAGCCTTGAAACTCTTGAATGGATCAAATATGAAGGAACAGAAGAAGAGAAACAAGTGGCAGCATTCATCTTAAGAAACGGAAGCTGTTTGAAGAAGGTAACCATTTCCTCTAAACCCACCGAGTCCGACAAGAAGAAACTTGAGATGATCAAGGACTTGTCCTTGTCGTTTAGGCGTTCACCTACATGCCAGCTTATATTTGACTGAAGTTACACTACTCATGTTCCATGGTCAAGTCGGTTTGTATTTGATCCGAATCTTATAGTTTTTATAAGTGCTTAGAACTTGTGTTTTCTCTTCTGAAGAAATTAGTTTTTCCCAGAAACTCATGTTGGTTACAAGTTCTACTCTTTTGACATTCGATTGTGTACTCTGATGTTCTTAAACCTTTGAGTTCTTATCTCCTTGGCTCTGTGAATCTTATGCGAAGAAACGATGCTCTATTATTTAGTACTCACAGTAAATTATTGATTTTTGAATTTACCAAACTAAAGATGGTTTTGGAACGTTAGATAATTTAACAAAGATTAGATTAACTAATGATGCACTTAAATAGCATTCCCGGTTATTTTGCTCCCAATGCGATTGAAATGTTGGATTAAGTTTATAAAACATTTTCATATAAGAGTACTATACTACTAAACTATACTCTAAAATAACTTGGTACGTACTTATATTTCATTGAACGTAAATCATTACTGGCATAAGGGTGGCCAATTTGGTAAATCCAATCCAAATAATCCGGATAAGTATGGATTTGGATTTATACAAAAACTCATTTAGATCGAATAATAAATACTAATTTGGGTTTAAGTTATTTGGATCGGTCTTTAGATAACTAAAAACTCAAACAAAACCCAAATTTTTTCTTACATATATTATATTAGTAAAAAAACTTCATATAAATGTAACGTTGTCTAAATCAAAATTAATAGCCCACTATTATATACCAAAAATAGTAATATACTATCAACATTTTCATTATACATAAATTTACCTAATTTTAGATGTTATTCTTATTTTTATTTAATAATTTAACTAATCGAATTCAATGCAAAACCTAAACAACCCAAATAAAATTAGATTTAAGTTCACTTTCGTCAAATTATTTGTGTTCCAAGCAACTTAAACTCAATCCAAAACCTAAGAAATCCGGTATAAATTTTAATTGGATTGAATTTGGTACAATAATTTTT